ACCTTGGCCAGGGCAATTGAATGAAAGAAGAAAAGAGTTTCTTAGGTCATTCAATGGTCGATTATATTTGATATGAACACATAGTTGGTCGCCTATTAGGATTTGACAGTTGAACCATATCCTAGGATGACCCAGAGCTATAAGGGCAGAAGGAATTACTACATTATTCTTCTACGGGTTCTTGAGAGTAAATTGTATACTTCATGCTATCCGATCGTTAAGGAGTGTTGCTAGATGGCACCCTTGATTAGTATGTTGATATGATAAATTTACTACCGGTTTAGTATTGAACCTATGGGGTCGCACACTAACGAGTGTTCTGATCTTTGCTAAAGGATTAGTTACTTTATTATTTGATAATTAAATTAAAGAATTTGATTAGTCAAATAAATTTAGTTATTAGTTCAAATGAAATATTATTATATTCTTTGCTAGCACAGAGGATATAATTAATATTGTGAACAAATTGAAGTTTTCTCTTTGGAATAGAAAATTAAATTATTTTTCTTGATTAAAATATATATATGATATATATAATATCAATTAATATTGATTTATATAAAGGTTATATATATATAATATTAATTTATTCTTAGCAATATGAAATTGAAGATAAAAGTGCATAAAAGGGCTTGTGAGCACAGTAATCCAATTTGGAATTGGACTTAACATAAACGTCCATAAAGGACGTGTCTGACAACTTAAACCCATTCCATGGGTTTCATATCTTCATATTTTCAATAGGAAATTGGAATTGGACTTTATGGAAAGTCTTTAAGATTCGGCAGCCACATTACCTGTTGAGAATGGGTTTTCGATTTTTCCATATAAATTTCATGAAGTTTATTTTAGAATAAACTTTTACCCTAAGTAAATTATTACCTCAACCAAATAGGAAAAAGGTTTATGGGTGATGTTATATATATAGGGTAATGGAGAAAATTTGCCGGACTAATTCTTGAGAAGAAAAATCACTTTGTGAAAGTGAGAGTGCAACAAAAACCAAAAGAGAAAATATAATTATAAAAAAAGTGTTTCTTGTTCTTCTATCTTTGAGTTGAGATTTTTGAGAAAAATTTCAACATAATGTTTCATTCAATTTGTTCACGTGTTTTATTGATCAAAGAATTAGATAGCAAGGATCAGTCTCGATGTGGATACACATAGAGTCTTCGCACTATCGAAGAAATTTTTGAAATGAGACTATCTTCACCAGGTACGTCTTAGATCCGATCTTTGACATGTAAATAAATTTTAAACAAGAAAAGATCTGCATAGGATTGTTATTGTCTCCCGCTGCATGTTACGAACATCTATATGCAATCCTACAGTGGTATCAGAGCCGTGGTTTATTGTGTTTAAAATTTATTTAAGAAATATTTTAAGATTATATTTGAAGAGTTCATGCCATAATACATGTGTCTTGTGCAATAGTCAAATTGTTTGAATGCATATGGATTGATATTATTTTATTGTGAATAAACTATGTATTCATATAAGTTAAACTATTGAGATAGTTCATAGCTTAAATTTAAAATTTTGTATTAGATACGACGGTAATCTATAATAGGTTATTGGATTCTACTGTTATTTTAATTGTTATTAGTTCATGAGATGTTAATTAATAATAATATTTGGCATGAATTATTTTTATGTGATATATGTGATATATAAGATAAACATGTTAGAAGAATGTTGAATTTTATTTTTATGTCACGTGCTTGTTCATTACATAATTTTGAATTATTTATTACATGCGATGTAAATTAATTTAGGACTAAGCATGTAGACAACTTGAACTAAATTCACATGCTATAAAAGATTTGATCTTCATGTTATTAAAAGTTTTTTTAGTAACAATTCCCTCTTACTAAAATTTGAGTTATTAAATAATAAAATATAAGATATTTTATTGTAAAGCTATCCATCAAAATAAATAATTTTATTTATTTCTTGTTTATAAGGAGCGGCCTGACAACCAGGAGACTTATAGTTCGAGAATATGTTAAAATTATTTATTGCATTGGATGCATGTATTGGAAGAATTATTTAATTTTACACTAGATGCCTGGACTACCCCGGGGAATATAAAATTTACTAAGTTCTTTGCTTTCATGATGGTTGAACTCAACTATGTCAATAGGATCGACCTGACTCCCAGGGGACTATTTGACATAGAGCTATTTAAGAAAATTATATGGGAATATAATTGGTAAGAGTACCTACCTTTAAAATATATGTGAGAAATGGCTTGACTTCCAAGGGGCTCATACATATTGTTAAAGGATTCCTTTACTCCACTAACAGAAATAAAAATTTCATAAACTATAATGAGGATAAGTAGTTTAAAATAATTAGTGAAAATATCATTTAGATAAAAGTTCATGTCTTTATGATATATGTAAATATGTTCTTATATTATTGCCTTTTATTTTCTATATTTTAGATTTCTCAATATGTTTGTTATATCACTGCGTAAAATACTTGAGCAACCAAGTTGGTAGGACCAAACTTTGATGACTGGTATAGAAATTTGAGAATTGTTCTCATACATGAAAAGCTCATTGATGTGATCGATAAGCCTACAAAGATAATCCCACCAGGGAATGATGTTGTAACACCTCAAAAAATTTCGAAGTATTTAAGTGTAAAGCCCGGTAAAATTTACAAAAAAAATAATGTTTCATGGTGCCGGACTAGGCTTACGTGTTTGAGGATTGTAGATCGGACTTTTTGGGTTGAACAATGTACCGGAAAGTAAAGAAAAATTTTTGGCGAAAAAACGTATTTATGCGGTCCATTATGCGACCGCATAATCACTCTGCGGGCCGCATAATAGCCGCAGAAGTGAGCAGGAGAGGGCCATTATGGAAGCAGCTATGCAGTCGACTATGCGACCGCATAACTATTATGCGGTGCATTATGCGACCGCATAGTGACCGCATACACAGACAAATTTTTGATCATTTTTTTCAGCAATTATGCGACCGATATGCGATCCGCATATCCATTATGCGGTCGCATATGCGACCGCAGAACCGTTCCGGAGCTTCATTTTTGGGTTTTTAAAACCCGACCTTATTTCGTTAAATACACTCTTTGGGCCATTTTTGAACAATAATATGATATTTTAGAGTGAGAGAGAGTGCCCTAGAGTAAAAAGGTGTTCTTCAATAATTGTTCTTCAATTCTTGCCCAAGTTTTGGAAGATTAAGAAGGGAAACTCACTAGGTCTTCATCCTAGAGGTAAGATTCTACACCCTAACCCTCACTTTCGAATTTTGTGTAGAATTGGATAATTAGCAAGATAATTTCTGGGCAGGAGGGTTGTTTATTTACAAGCATATGATATCAAGGGGTGTAGGAAGATTGTTGAACTAGGAATGGTAAATATTGGGTTGTGGGATGATGGAATTCTCCATAAAAGGGCCTTGAAACCTTATGCACACCTTGTGTTTGATAAAATGCTCAAATGAGCTAGAACCATGATTATCTTCCTAATTTTAGTTCAATTTGTTATATTTCTAAGATAGATTGAAGTTGCTAAGAATTCCGGAACATTTAGAGTGTAAGGAAGCTCAAGTGAGGTATGTTGGCTAAACTCTTCTTTAAGAATTGGAATTCCCATTATCCTTGTAAGTTCCAAGATGTTGATTACAAACCTAGTATTCCGATAAGTTTTGTGATAAAGATATATGTTCAATTTGTGTTTCAAATGCTCTCATCATATTGCATTATAAATTGAGGATGTGTTTCAAAACTATGGATTGTGTATCCACATGTTATAATTTCCAGTAGTGATTTATATGAAAGTTATTATGCCAAGTTGTGTAGAGATTGGGATTTTGATACACCTCCACCTGCATATATTGGGGTAAGGCGGCATGGCCGCTTTGTGTAGGGACTATGGTATTGTGGGACTANCACCCGCATACATTGGGGTGAGGCGGCATAACCGCTTTGTGTTGGTATTGGTATCGTTGATGCAATTCCACCCGCATATATTGGGGTGAGACGACATAACTGTTTTGTGTTGGTATTGGTATCGTTGATGCATTTCCACCCGCATTACATTGGGGTGAGGCGGCATAGCCGCTTTGTGTAGGTTCTTGGTACTGTGTGAAGGTTGATACATCCACCCGCATACATTGGGGTGAGGCGGCAGGGCCGTTTGAGTAGAGTTGTGGTATTGTGCTTACACCTCCACCTGCATACATCGGGTGAGGCGGCGGGGCCGCTTTGTGTGAAGGTTACAAAGGATCTCATCTTAACTCCTATAAATGTTATTGATAGCTATTAATAAGCTTGCTCTGGTTTACACGGTTATCTATATTATTCTATTGCTTCCCCGATTCACCATATTCATATTGTATTTCTAAATTCTTAAATTGGTGTTTGGTTTTCATACTAGTACTATCCGACGGTACTAATATCCCTTTTGCCAGGCGCTCTGCATCTTTAAATGGATGCAGGTGGTTCCACAGCAGGAGGAATTGATTAGTGATAGCGGTGCACCCTCTTCCCAGCTGACTTGGTGAGCCTCACTTCATCCCGGGGTCATGTATTTTTGGTGCTTTGTATATTCTGTTTGAGGTATAGCCGGGGCCTTGTTGCCAACATTATCATTGTACTCTTCTTTATCCATAGAGGCTCCGTAGACATAGTGTGGGTTGTGTATTGGTACTGGGAAAGACAACTATGTTATATTGTGGTTGTATTACTTGTCTCATTTGAGACTTTAAAAATGATGAAAACTAGTGGTAATGAACTGGTATTGTAGACATGATCACGTTTTGTCTAATTAATAAAAATATGTATTATCTCTATTCGTGGATGAGTTTGGGTAGAATAAAATCTAATAGGCTTGCTCGGTCGGGTTCACTCGGTTGAGCGCCGGTCGCGCTCCTCGGTTTTGGGGCGTGACAGATGTTCAAGGCACCAAGGTTTATCAGATACACTTGGAAGAATGCCTTGCTATTAAACACATCATTCTCGCTTCTATGAGTTCTGAACGCCAGAGAAAACATCAGAATATAGATCCAACTGCAATCATTGAACATCTTAAGAAGATGGTTGATACACAGTTGGACCTCATGTCAATCGTGTGATTGATCTTATCGAAAAACTTGAGAAGTTGGGTTACAAGCTTAGTAAAGAGTTTTCTAAAGATTTGATCTTGTAGTCAGTATATGATGTTGAATGTTTTCACTGTAAGAAGAAAGGGCATTGGAAGAGAAATTGCAAGGAGTATCTTGCAACTCTAAAGGACAAGAAACAAGGTGAGATATTAATGAAAAATATTTTCAAGGTTTCTTTAGCTACTACTAATTCTTCACTGTGGGTATTAGATACTGGCAGTAGTTATAACATTTGCAATATGTTGTAAGGGTTCAAGATAAGTAAGAGACTAAAGAAAGGAGAAGTTAATCTACAAGTTGGAAATGGTGCAAAAGTTGCAGCCATAGCTGTAGGATCAATTTCTTTAATAATGCCTTCGGGCAAAGGACTTATGCTAGATGATTGTTATTATATTCCTAAATTTGTTTCGAACATAATTTTAGCTTCTATGTTGGACAAGCGTGAGTTTCACATTAACATAGGCAATGGTATTTGCTCTATTTATTATGGTGATGATTTATATGTGAATGACTATCTCCAACATGATGTTTATGTCTTACTCTTACCTAATGTGAATGCTAATATGATTATGCATGTTTCTAGTCTTAAAAAGAAAAGAGATGATCAAGTAATCATACATACCTTTGGCATTGTAGGCTTGGTCATAATGGAGAGAAAAGAATTAACAAGTTGTACAAGGAAGGGTACCTTGATAAGTATGATTTTGAATCATATCCAACTTGTGAATCTTGTCTCAAAGGAAAAATGACCAAATCTCCATTTACTGGAAGTGGAGAAAGAACATCTAAATTATTAGGACTAATTCATACAGATATTTGTGGGCCCATGAAAATTCAAGCTAGAGGTGGATATTCTTACTTCATCATCTTCACTGATGATATGTCAAGATATGGATTTGTGTATTTTATGAAACATAAATCTGAATCTTTTGAAATGCTCAAAAGGTTCTGTAGTGAAGTTGAGAAACAAACTGGTAAAATTATCAAAGTACTAAGGTCTGATAGAGGTGGAGAATATCTTAGTGAAGATTTTACTAGGTATCTCAAAGAGAATGAGATTCTCTCACAGTGGACACCTCCAGGAATACCACAACACAATGGTATGTCTGAAAGGAGAAATCAAACTTTATTAGATATGGTGAGATCTATGATGGGGTTCACTGATCTTCCAATAAATTTATGAGGATATGCTTTGGAAGCAGCAACATACTTACTTAATAAAGTTCCCAATAAGTCAGTCTCTACAACACCATATGAGATATGGAAAGGACGTAAGCCTAACCTTAAATACATTAAAGTTTGGGGTTGTGCAACTTATGTTAAGAGACTGCAGTCTGATAAACTTGACTCAAGATTTGATAAGTGTAGGTTCATTGGGTATCCCAAAGAAACAATGAGATATTATTTCTATCACCCTTCTGACCATAAAGTGTTTGTGGCAAGAGGAGCAACCTTTTTGGAAAGGGAATTTCTTTTGGAAGGAAATTATAGTGGAGAAATAGAACTTGATGAAGTTCAAGAGACTAATGAATCAACACAAAGTCAAGATCACGAGACACAAGTTGAAGAACCTTTATTGGATATTTTGAAGTTGACAAGGAAGTTGCCATCTTCAACGGCTGAAGTTCAAGAACTAAATGTAGTTCAAGAACAGGTTAATGAACCAGTTCCAAACCAAATTGAACAACAACCAAATCCATCACAAGGTGAACAAGTTGTATAAACGCCTTTTAGAAGGTCTACACGAGAACGTCATGTACCAGCTAGATTAAATCTAATGGTACAAGATGATGTATCAAATAAGGTTGATCATACTGATGATGACCCTAAGACCTATGAAGAGGCTACACAAAGTTCTGATTATGAGAAATGACAAAAGGCCATGGAATCCGAAATGGAATCCATGAAGGAAAATAAAGTATGGACAAAGTTGAACCTTCAAAGGATATAAAACCTATAGGTTGTAAATGGGTTTTTAAGAAAAAGATTGGAGCAGACGGAAGGTGGAGACCTACAAAGCCCATCTTGTTGCCAAGGGATATCGTCAGAAAGAAGGAGTCGACTATGACGAGACTTTCTTTCCCGTGGCAATGCTCAAATCAATTCGGATTTTGCTTGCTATATCAGCATACTATGATTATGAAATATGGCAAATGAATGTGAAAATAACTTTCCTTAATGGTGAGCTAGAAGAGGATATGTATATGACACAACCTAAAGGTTTCACATCTTCGTCTGATCATAATAAAATATGCAAGCTGCAAAGATCCATTTATCGACTAAAGCAAGCTTCTCGAAGTTGGAATATTCGCTTTAACAAGACAATTGAGAAGTTCAATTTTGTTAGATACGAAGAAGAACCTTGTGTGTACAAAAAGGTTAGTGGGAGCACAATTATATTCTTAGTACTGTATGCTGATGATATATTGCTCATAGGGAATGCCATACCGGCATTGCAAAGTACCAAGATTTGGCTATCTGAACAGTTCTCCATGAAAGACTTGGGAGAAACAGCTTATATATTAGGAATAAAGATCTATAGAGATAGATCGAGGAAGCTGCTTGGACTTTCCTAGTCTTTGTACATTGATACCATCTTAAAGAGGTATAACATGGATAATTCCAAAAGAGGCTATCTACCAATAGGCACTAGAATTACTCTCAGTAGGGAGGATTGTCCTAAAACACATGAAGAAAGAGAATGCATGAGTAGGATCCCATACGCTAGTGCAGTGGGAGCTATCACGTATACCATGACATGTACACGTCGTGATGTGGCTTATGCACTAGGGGTGACTAGCCGATATTAGGCAAATCCTGGTGAGGAACATTAGAAGGTGGTGAAGACCATTCTTAAGTACTTAAGAAAGACTAAAGACCAATTCCTCATCTATGGAGATTCTGAGTTGAAATTTGAAGGTTATACTGATATAAGTTTCTCTTCAGATAAAGATGATAACAAATCTATTTCTGGTTATGTATTCACCTTAAATGGTGGTGCAGTGAGTTAAAAAAGTTCCAAACAAGCTACAGTAGTTGATTCAGTGACTGAAGCAGAATATATTGCAGTTAGTGAAGCTGCTAAGGAAGCTGTATGGATTGAAAAAGTTCTTAACTGAACTTGGTGTGGTTCCTTCAATAGAAGGTGCAGTTCCATTGTTGTGTGACAACACAGTAGCCATTGCTCAAGCAAAAGAACGAAGATCACACCAAAAATCCAAACACGTTCTGCGAAGGTATCACTTGATAAGAGAGATCATTGAATGTGAAGACGTCTAGATTCAAAAGTTTGATGAAAAGGAAAATGTTGTACACCCAATCACTAAAGTTCTTGGCACAAAAGAGTTTGACAAAAACAAGTGAAAATTGGGAATGAAGTACAAGAGCGATTGGCTCTAGTGCAAGTGGGAGATTGTTAGGGATATAGTAGATATGCCCTAGATCCAATCTCATATGGGATGATTTGAACATATTTTTATGAACGTTATTTGATATAAAACATATATGACATTTGATATTCTTTTATCATTGTTATTATTAATTATTTAATTAACTTGATAAGGTCCTTTATTAAATTTTAAGACTTATCATCGTGCTGGAGATCATGATAATGAGAGTGAAGTTTCTTATAATTTAATCTAAATTTGTTCTTGATCATAAGATTATTGATTTGGACATTAGTAATCTGGTTAGATCAATATTTATGTGATCGTCTTTATTGGATAAAGATTAGTTGATCTCATTAACTAAATTACATAGATACATGATGCATATAGAGATATGATCATTTAACTGACTCATTGGATAATTCCTAATGGTTAGAATTACCATAAACTGTCAATAGGATATTCTCTTGAAGAATATGATGCAACTGTTTCCTTTGACCTGAGATCGTCATAGTAATTGACAAGTTATTTATTGTGCTTTGATACTAGACACCTATGGTCCTAGGGTGATAGTTGAAAGGATATTGGGTATGATTAAATACTTGTAGAATTAGTGATTGATCAAGATGGAATCTGTCAATTCTTGGTAATGAGTTTAAGCTCCATGTTGTCATGAATTATAAATGACCAAATTAAGACCTTGGCCAGGGCAATTGAATAAAAGAAGAAAAGAGTTTCTTAGGTCATTTAATGGTCGATTATATTTGACATGAACACATAGTTGGTCGCCTATTAAGATTTGACAGTTGAACCATATCCTAGGGTGACCTAGAGCTATAAGGGCAGAAGGAATTACTACATTATTCTTCTACGGGTTCTTGAAAGTAAATTGTATACTTCATGCTATCCGGTCGTTAAGGAGTGTTGCTAGACGCCACTCTTTATTAGTATATTGATATGATAAATTTACTACCGGTTTAGTATTGAACCTATGGGGTCGCACACTAACGAGTGTTCTGATCTTTGCTAAAGGATTAGTTATTTTATTATTTGATAATTAAATTAAAGAATTTGGTTAGTCAAATAAATTTAGTTATTATTTCAAATAAAATATTATTATATTCTTTGCTAGCACAGAGGATATAATTAATATTGTGAACAAATTGAAGTTTTTTTGGAATAGAAAATTAAATTATTTTTCTTGATTGAAATATATATGTGATATATATAATATCAATTAATATTGATTTATATAAAGGTTATATATATAATACTATTAATTTATTCTTAGCAATATGAAATTGGAGATAAAAGTGCATAAAAGGACTTGTGGGCACAGTAATCCAATTTGGAATTGGACTTTAACATAAACGTCCATAAAGCACGTGTCTGACAACTTCAAACCCATTCCATGGGTTTCATATCTTCATACTTTCAATAGGAAATTGGAATTGGACTTTATGGAAAGTCTTTAAGATTCGGCAGCCACATTACCTATTGAGAATGTGTTTTCGATTTTTCCATATAAATTTCATGAATTTTATTTTGGAATAAACTTTTACCTTATTACCTCAACCAAATAGGAAAAAAAAAGTTTATGGGTGATGTTATATAAAGGGTAATGGAGAAAATTGCCGGACTAATTTTTGAGAAGAAAAATCACTTTGTGAAAGTGAGAGTGCAACAAAAGCCAAGAGAGAAAATACAATTACAAAAAAAGTGTTTCTTGTTCTTCTATATTTGAGTTGAGATTTTTAAGAAAAATTTCAACACAATGTTTCATTTAATTTATTCACGGGTTTTATTGATCAAATAGTTGATAGCAAGGATCAGTCTCGATGTGGATACACATAGAGTCTTCGCACTATCGAAGAAATTTTTGAAACGAGACTATCTTCACCAGGTACGTCTTAGATCCGATCTTTGACATGTAAATAAATTTTAAACACGAAAAGATCTACATATGATTGTTATTGTCTTCCGCTGTGTATTACGAATATCTATATGGAATTCTAAACCTCCTTCTTCCCTAACACTTGATACTTTGATGTGACAAGACTATTTGCCCATCTTCACAAGTGTTTAGATACTTTGATGTTAAAGGTTTTCAAATTAAACATCTGATCACGAAGTCTTCAAATAAGGCATGTCAATGTCTTCTTGCCTAATTGGTTATGATATATAAGACCCTACTAGCAAGATCTGCAATAGTATGCATTAGACATATAAGATCAAGAATAAGGGAGTTGTACTTGTTGATAGTTGATTTTTATCGTATTTCAGATACTTGGATGCAAATGTTGAGTACATATAAACTTAGACTATAATTAAGAAGTTTAGGTTGTTATAATCCAACAGAGGTGGGGGGAGAAGGATACCGAGAAGAAGATAAAACACTTAGTTTTAAGAAAAATGGACCTTCGACTTAACTCAATCCCAAAACGTTAGCTCATGGGTGGAGGATTGTCTAATACTATATGAAGTTACTAGAACTCATATTCTTATCTTATGGTAACTCTAACAACCCTCCACGCTTAAGACTGAATATTTAGAGCGTGGATGACATGAGATAACTTGTTAAGAAAAATGAAATCTTTATCTAATCTAACTTAATTCTAAAAGCTAACTCTTAAGGTGGGCATTTCTCTTTTCTTGGATAGAGTTGATTAAATGGTATAACTGGAGAAATTATGTGAACAGTTTCCAAAAAAGTCTACACTAATCTGTTCTAACTGCTAGAGACTTCATCAGTGGCAGTTCTCATTAAATTTGAGATGAGAAAAACTGATTGAAGATTTTGGAAATATTTCCTGCTTCATTAGATAAAACAGATAACGAGCCATGAGAATAAACGAATACTTGATTTTACTTGTAAGTGTGCCTCGCATGTAAATATAAATGTCTACACCCATTTGTCACAAGGGTACACGGCTTGAACATTGCAATGATACGCACTAATGGTAGAGATTTATTAGGTGCTGTCTAAAGGGGTAGCTTTCTTTGGAATGTTTGAGAAGAGAGCAAATTGGAGTAGTAGCTCAAAGGAACTACCAGCTTCATTATTTTTGGTTTCTTTAACTACGTTTTATGCAATAGAAGGGGACTGTTCAATTGTTTACTTCTACTAATCAGTAGAATTTTTTGGTACGTCACTAATCAATACTAGAAATTATTAAGCATCGTCTGATCATATCATTTACCATTCTTTTAAGTGCATTTTAATTGAACCAAAAGATAAGTCAAAAACCTGAGCACATCGCTTAAGGCAGCTATCAATGGATTATCCGAGTTGCCAACAAGTCTAGAAAGCTCAAAGGAAATACCAGATTCATTATTTCTAGTCTCATGAATTACATTTTCCCGCAGGGCAAGGATTGTTCAGTTGATTAATCCTACTGGAATTTTAAGCACAGAAGTTTAGTTGAGAAAGGAGAGATAAATGACTGAAAGGAATCTTAGTTGTATATAGGTTCTCTCGTCTCATGGAAAATTATTAAAGCTGGACTTTATCTAAATAGAGTATTACTCTTGAGAGTCAGTTAACTCCATCTGGCTAGTGCTCAGGTTGACGTAGAAAGAGCAAAATTAACAACTGACAAGATTGTTTTCCTTTTCAGCTACATGCTGCACAGGGTCGATCTTTGGCTGCTGGATGCTTTTCTTAAACTAGACAAAGAGCCCTTTCTGTGGCTTGATTTATCCTAAACCTTGTGTCTGAAGGACATAGAGCTGTAGTATCCTCTGGAATTGTTTGTTCTCTATTCCCTCTAAGCTGTTACTCTTCTAAGATTTCTGCTAAATACACATGGGGTGGTCTCATTAGAAGTGCTCGTGACTGTTTTCTGATATCTACACATAATTATACTCACTTACTCTCAATAAGTACTGTTACTCTGGTTTCAGTACATGAACAAAAACATATGTGAAATTCATGGAAAGTTGATTAGATGACTAGCATATTACCTTTCGGTCTTTCATCCAGTGGTTTACTAGTTCTACGAAACACTAAAAACTTAAAGTTTCATAGTAGGGTGGTCAACATGTCTTGGATTTTTCATGAATTTGCTAGTTTAATGTCAAAAGTTTGCTTATGTTTCAGCTTAAGGAGCTTACTTCTGTGCAGGCATGAAATTGTTGGTCTCGTGACTGCAGTTGGCACTAGTGTCCATAGATTCAATGTTGGTGACCGAGTTGGAGTTGGAGTGATTGTAGGCTCCTGTCAAACGTGTGATATCTGTGAACAGAGCTTGGAAAGCTATTGTCTCAAAGTTATGTTCACCTACAACTCCACATACCATGACGGTACAAAGACATATGGTGGTTACTCCGATATGATAGTTGTTCATCAGCGCTTTGTTCTTGAATTTCCTGAAAATCTACCTTCTGATGCTGGAGCACCTTTATTATGTGCTGGAATCACTGTATACAGCCCAATGAAATACTATGGTATGACCGAGCAAGGCAAGCATTTGGGTGTTGCTGGATTGGGGGGGCTTGGTCATATTGCTGTGAAGATTGGAAAGGTCTTTGGGTTAAAAGTTACTGTCATCAGCACTTCTCCTAAGAAGGAAGATGAGGCCATCAAGAAGCTTGGTGCGGATGCTTTCGTTTTAAGAAGTGATCCTACAAAAATGAAGGTAAGTGCAAAAATAAATAAAAAAGAGAATTTTAAAATCCAAAACAGGTGATGTTCTTAAGAAGATTAAGAAGGAGTTTAAGCATTGTGCATGTTAATTCACACCATTTAAGGCATTACAGGTTTCATTTAAATTCTTAACACCACATTGTAATTGCAACAAGAACTTGGAAAAATAGTTCTTGATGACTCAACTAGGAAAGATGCATTATTTAGACTGCAGCCCTCATGGTAAGGGTTGTTCTGCAAATAACTATGAATCGAATCTTCAATATCCATGTCGCTCAATTACAAGCTAGTTGGAGTTCGGTAAGTAGTAAACATTGTATATGGAGGAAATTTCCAACGTTAAAGCTAGTTTGCCTGTTACTGGTTTCCGTTTGTGTTGTAAGTTCGATTCTCATAATAAAACAGATGTGACATGGTAGTTACAACTACAAATCTTATTTCCAACTACAAGATCCCTGGTGTTGTTTAAGTTGAACTTTTCTTTTGTCGCCTAAATCTTTGTTATTTTCAACGAATCACATGCATTTGAGTGGGGATAATTTTTTGACTTGTTCAAGGAAAGTGATGTAGCCGCTGTCAAGATCCTTTATAAAAATTATGATATAGCGGTTGTCCATGCAGGCTTTTGTAAATACTATGGATTACATTATTGACACCATTGTTGCGGTTCATCCATTGGCTCCGTTGCTCAGTTTGCTAGAGATGGATGGTAAACTTGTTACTGTTGGGTTGCCTGAAAAGCCACTGGGGCTTCCGATTTTCCCTTTAGTTTTGGGTAAGAGAGCCTGCTTTAGAACATCAAAATGTTGCTTTTATTTTTCAACCATTTTAACTGCATGATCATATTTACAAATTTGATTATTAATAGGTAGGAAGCTAGTTGGGGGAAGTGACATTGGAGGCATGAAAGAGACGCTAGAAATGTTAGACTTTTGTGCAAAGCACAACATTACTGCAGATATCGAGCTGATCCGAGTGGAGCAAATCAATACGGCCATGGAACGACTTGCAAAATCTAACGTTAAGTAGCGGTTTGTGATTGACATTGCAAACTCTATATCCTGCCCTGGTTGTTCAATGTAGTTGTTGTTTCTTCCTTCAATACCAGAAAAAATTCATATTCGAAAAATTGAGCAATGTATTTGTGATAAGTTGATATATGACTGATCAACTTGTGAGTTATGGAGTATTAATAAGACGAGAAATGTTTGAGCTTCTGTGTTTTTATTATTCATTGTCCATTAAGCTTTGTTATTGTTGGAAATTGAGGTTTTGATGATTAACAACGTGTAGCAGTATAAATTGGTTGTTGCATGTTAAAACCCTCGTACTAGTAATGGCTCTTGTACAAATGTTGGCCCTAAATCTCAGCAGGTTTAGGAGGATTCACTTTCGCGCATGTTATTTCCTTATTTTGTGGAAAGTGACATGGCAGCCTCCTAAATATGAGAGAATCATGGCAGATCTCTCTTGCTGGAGACAAGGTCAAGGATTGCAACGACCCGACCGGTCATTTTAAATTCTAGCATTTCGTGATGTGATTTGAGACTTCAAGTGGCTTCATATGGTGTATTAGGACTTGCGTGCATGGCTAATTTTGATTTTTGGGTGGTTCGAGATGGATTTAATAGAAAGATTTTCAATATGGAAGTCTTAAGTTGAAAGAGTTGATCAAGGATTGACTTTTAAGTAAAAGACATTGTAATCGGGATTTGATGATTATAATAGGTTCGTATGGTGACTTTAGACTTAGGCATATGTTCGAATTTGTATTTGGATGTTCCTAGAGGATTTTGGCTTTATTTGTCGAAAGTTGGCAACTTAAAGAATTTGCGAGCTCATAGTTTTGATCGGGAGTTGACCTCAGTGTTATCAGACTCCTATTGTAGTTTTGAGATCTTGTATAGTTTTGTTTAGTTGATTGGGACTTGTGTGTAAAGTTTCATTGTGATCCAGAATATTCAAGTGTGATTCGGACATGTTCAACGAAGTTTGAAGGTTTGAAAGTTAAGAGAATAATTTTGATCTTCGATTCTTGATTTTGATGTTATTTATGATGTTTCGAGCCTTTGGATAAGTTTGAATAATGTATTTGGACTTGTTGATATGATTGGACAGGGATCCGGAGGCCTCAGGTGTAATTCGGGGTGGTTTCGGACCATTTTGGTGATGTTTGAGTTACTGGTATTTAGCAGGTGACTGTGTTCTTCGCGGTCATGGTCAGTATGCAATGCGTTCACAAAGAGTATTTCTGGTATTGGTCTTGTTGCTCTTCGCGTTCGCATGGAAGTGTCGCATTCGCGTAGTATTGTTCCAAGTGTATGGCGTTCGCGTGTGTCTGTCACGTTCGCGAATAGTTAGAGCTGGTAGGGGATTTTTTGCCTTTGCGTTCGCGAAGGTGTAGATCGCGTTCGCGAAGGAGAGGGACTTTTCACTATGCAATGGCAAGGGCGAGGCCGCGGTCACATAGGGTATTTTGTTCAGTGGCTTGGTTTGTGCTTCGCGAACGTGGAGCAGTGGTCACGTAGCCAAGGGTACTGCCGGGCTGTGTATTTAAGATATTATTTCGGGATTTTGAGCTTATTTGTCATATTTTAAACCCTAAACTTGGAGAGGGGCAATTTCTTATGAAAATATTTACACAAAACTTTGGGATAAGTGATTTCTACTCACTTTTAGTATTACTTCAAGAATCTACATGAATTGTTAATACCCACAACATGGAATTTTGAGGTGAAATTTGGGATTTTTTCTATACTTTAAGAGAGTGTAATTTGAGGATTTGAGTATCAATTTGGACTTGGTTTTAGAATCTAATCATATATTTGGACTCTGCAGATCATGGGTCATCTGATTTTGGCATTGGTTTCGGGTTTCGGGCACGCGGGCCCGAGATTGACTTTGGGGGAATCCTTCAATGATCGAGGCTTTATTGATTTGGATTACTTCCTATGCAATTGGTTGACTTCCTTGATTAATGGTTGGCTAGATTCGAGCCGGTTAGAGGTATTTTCTTAAGGAAATGCGATTTTGGAGCTTTGGACAAGCCCATATGAGGTAAATGTCTTGCCTAGCTTTGGTTGAGAGAATATTTCATAATAACTGGTATTGTTTGTCACATGCATGGATGATGTATATATGAGGTGACAAGCGTATATACATGTGGCACGAGTATGCATGCTCGGGGTAGATTTTAGATTTACCTTATGCCTTTGTTTGCTTGTGTGTTCTACTAGATTCTATGTTTTACTCTATTATTTGATTACATGGGCACGATGAACTATGCTAGAGTTAATGTTGACGCTAATGGTACCGTATTTGGAGCATGATGAACTATTCTTGAGATTGTTGCCATAGATATTTTAGATGTAGTCACAGATATGTTATGAACACATATCCATACGTGTTATTCTTGTGTTATGCCTTAAATTGATGTATGACTATTTGAGTTTCTTTAACCACGTTAAAGACTATGAACCAACTTTTGATGCTTATTTGGGCGTGATGATTATTTGGGTGACGTACTACGTGTTGGGTCCTTGGTCATACGTACATATAGGCATACATCCTACCTAGGAATCATCCCTTGTATACATGCATACACCCATGCATGGTTATTTCTTGGTCGACATACATTTTATATGCTTACCTCATATTCATATGCATACATCACCACATATGGTTATCAAATATGTACTGAGGTTATGGCACAAGATTTCTTCCACACGGACATCGGGATATTATATTGATTGGGAATGAGGTTTTTGCCGTGCGGTGATTGTGATGTGATATTGATTATGGCACGTGAGTTGTCCTTGCAGCACGTGAGCTATCCGTACGGCTGTTATAATTATTGGCACGTGAGTTGTCCGAGCGGTTGTTATGATTATTGGTATGTGAGTTATCCGTGTAGCACTGAGTTATCCGTATGGTTATGGCACGTGAGTTGTCCGTGCCGCATGTGGATATGGATCTATCCTACTAGGGTCATCCTCTCATGTTTCTCTCTTGATGGCGTACATGCGGGTTGTGAAAAACTGATGGGTTTCTGGTTGATTGATGATGCGTGGGGTATAAGGGTGGCATTCTTGATTGATGATGTGTGAAGTATAAGCGTGACATTCTCAATTGATGATAAGTGGAGTATAAGGGTGGCATCCTTGATCCTACAAGTGCATTCTTTATGCTTGTCATATATTTTATATGTTCTTACATGTATTATCCATGCATGTCATCTACATTTACTAGTTGATTCATTTTATACTTGCAGGAGACTTGTTAGTGACTTTTTGGACACTCAGTGACTGCCCGGTTGTTGTAGAAAGGGAGTTATCATCACACATTGATATGTTAGACTCATAAACATGGTATTTGGAAATTGATACGGTATTGGATCATTGTATGTACAGATTTTACATTCATGTATGAGTATTTGATCACACACACTACTTGGTGCATGTCTATTTATGTGCGGAGTTTGTGCAAGTTGTACTTGCTTGACCTGTTTAATCGACAAAGGTTGTTTATTGCCCCTACCCAGTTGTGCACCATATTATTGATATTCTTTATTCTGTGACTATCTTTTCTAGATAATTCTTTGTATTGTATATGTTATTGAGCTTCACAGGTTATTCAAAGTGAGTATCATTTGGACATAAAAACCTCGTTACTACTTTATCTAGTTTAGTCAGGATACTTATTGAGTACATGGGGTCGGTTGTACTCATACTACACTTCTGTACCTTGTGTGCAGATCTTGAAGTTGAGCTGCTGTGGATGATGAAGGCTATAATTGAGGATGTAACTACATTCCAGATATAAGCTACCACTTGTTCTTGGTAGTTTAGGATTTTTACTTCTGTTTATGTGTATTTCAAATAGATGTTGTATTTATTCTTTGAACCAGCTTTATAAATCTAAATCCTAGTGGCTCATGACTTGTACTACCAATCCTTGGGGTATTTGTATGAATATGCATCTTGTTATTTATTATTATTGATGAGCTTTCATTTGAGTTGTATTATTCATTGTTTGGCTTACCTAGCAAGTTGGGGTTAGGTGCCATCACCATTAGGTGAGATTTTGGGTCGTGACAAATTGGTAGCAGAGCTCTAGATTCATAGGTTCTACTAATTATGAACAAATGTCTAGTAAAGTCTTGCAGATCGGTATGATTATGTCCATACCTATCTTCGAGAGGCTACAGGGCATCTAGGAAACTTTCCTTCTTTCTTTCCACATCGTGCGACTTTGTTTCAGCTCGAAGCCTATAATCTCCAATTTTTTCTTTTTGATTCTTCAGCGATGTTGAGTACTTGGTATTTAGATGTGCACCAATGACTTGTGATGTTGCGGAGGGGATGCAAAGGGCTATGGATACTTGATCATCGTCTCTATGTGTTGTATGATCTTGAGATGTGGATATGTTTGCGATCTTCCAGTTGTTCATTTGAGGAATGAAGCGGAGTCTTATATCTGTTTGACAAGTGTAGACTCGGGAAGATTAATTGATTTCTTAGTGGTTGTGACCATGGTAGGGCCATAGGAAGATGTTGATTTGAGGTTGGCAGGTGGGTTATCTCCTGCAAGGAGATCTGGGGTTGTGTGATTCGTATGAGACTTATATTCAGTAGAATGTATATACTACCATTTTGGAGCATTAGAGGAAGTTGGCTTGACTGTTGTGAGGATGAGTATGTACTCGGCAGATAATCCTAGTGTATTTTGACTAGTGCTATGCGAGCTTATGAGGAGATCAACTGGATAGCAGTGTGAGGTCATGGCAAGTTAAGAAGGAAGGGTATTGTGGGTTATCAGATGACGTGTTTGTGACTCCAAGCCAAGTGGGGGAGTCTACCATCGACGATCGGGTCATTTGGGCATGTGTTATTATAGTTCCCGGATTTGGATTATAACAACCCGATCGGTTATTTTGAGTGTTAGCATTCCGTTTAGTGGTTTAAGATTTTGAGTAGCTTCATATGATGTATTACGACTTGTGTGTATGGTTGGATTTGATATTCAGGAAGTTCGGGATTGATTCAGAAGAGTAATTCTCATTTTAGAAGCTTTAAATTAGAATAGTAGACCAATATTTGACTTGTAAGTAAACGAGCTCGAATTCGTATTTTGATGGTTCCAATAGGTTCGTATGGTAATTTTGGACTTAGGTGTATGTCCGAATTCATATTTGG